ATCTTCAAACAAGTAACTTTATATAACTGACTGTATAAAAACTGAGGTTTGTGACATACATATTTAGTTAACAGACTCTTTGTCCAAAGTGATTTGCAAATGAGGACTACAACAGCAATAATGAAAATTGAGAAAACTAAACCAAATCTTTTTCGTCAAGGTATACACACTATTTTTGTTTCACACAGGTTGCCAAATAAATCATTTTTCAAAATTCAAAAACAACTCTTTTTTTTTTGCAAACGGGAGTTTTGCACCAGCTGTTACTATGGCAGTGTCTTATCTGAAACACTGCATTTACCAATCAGAGCATCAGAGCTATCTATTTCATAAAGTAAGCAGAATTAACTGTTTTATGTTTTAATTATGTTTACATTACATTTACATTTATTCATTTAGCAGCCACATTTATCCAAAATGACTTACAAAGGAGGAACATTGCAAGCAATTTATCTTTTTTTTTTTTGTAATTGTCAGATGCAAATTCATCACTGTCATCTGCAAATACTCAGCTTGAGTTGTCATCCTACAAACCTTTATTATTATTATTACAGTTTCTATTTGTAAGCAGAGCAGTTTGGTTAAAATACTGTTGCTGTGTGATGGTGAGAAATGTTTGATCTGTGTGTGCTGGTACAAATGTATCTCTATTGAATGATCCAAATGATCTGTGACCATGTGTCACCCCCAGTCTTGAAATATATGAGACATGCATAACAAGATACACCTGTTTCTTATACTGCAGGACAGCTGACTGTAGAAAAAGCGGATAGCCTGGGTTTTTAATGCTCTGAAGAATACATTGTTGGTGTACTTCCTGAAAACATCTTGTGACAGTTGGGTGCAGCCATGATTATAGAGATGTTTTTGTCATGTCATTTAATAGACATGCCAGCAATTTACATCAAGCATATAAGGTGCGCATTTGTTCCTCCATAAAACCCAAACTTAACTTCAGAATCAGCACAATCGGTGATTGTTGTAAAATGCTGTCTTTACTGTTGCTAAATTGCGGGACATGTTTGGTAATAAAGCACAATAATCCTCGCAAGAGATGCTGATCCCAAGGCTGAAATGTGGCGTGCGCTCCAATACAACTAGACGAGCAAATTAAACTTTGGGCTTCGGGTGCACATCCAAGCGATCAAACACACAGAAAATGTGTCAAAATGGCCGGCTTGGAGAGTGTTCACTTAAACACAGTTTATGTCTTAAGTGGACGTGAAGAGTTGGGAGAAAAGCTGATGCGTGTCAATATATTTAAGTGACAGAAGGGCTTGGGTCTTCAATGTTAATCAAACAACAAAATGCAAAGAGAAAATCACTCACAGCTCTCAATCTGAATAACGTTAGCTATAATAAGCATTCATCTTTAAATTCATGCAGTGAAAACTATGCAGTGTTCACTAAAAAACACTAAAAATGCCTGCACACAAAAAAGTACCAATAAGAATACCGTTAAAGTACCGGATCGATAAGCAGCATCGGTAATAACATTAAAACCTTAACAATACCCATCCCTAGTCATTGGTAGGCTGATTTTCCTAAATAGCATAAAACTCAACCAATGGAAAGCCTTTTTTTTTTTTGTTAGTTTTTGACTCTTTTTTTTTTTTAGACATGAGCTAATCTGACAGTGTTGCATTCAAACCTCCACCAACGGCGTCTCTCACCATGTCGCTGATCTGCCTGTGCACGTTCACGTGTTTTGGAGGAGGCGTGGCTTTGGCGAGTGATTATGCAGGGAGGGTGGGATCTTATGCTTTCAAAGCTTGCTTGCTATTGCTAGCCTCTCCGAAATTGCCTACCCTACATTTAATTTAAAATAGCAGTGAATATAAATAAATAAATTCACAGTTTTGTTTCAAGGGTTTTCCCATGTTTCACAGGGCTTCTAAAAATGCAATTTATTGCGAAATAATGGTGTTTCTTCATTACTCTTGCTGCAGTTTAAATATTTAAAACCAAAACTCTGTTTTCTCAGAAATGCTTTTTTATTTGGTCATCAAATTGTTTCTTTATCCTCAATTTCACAAACTGTTTGTCTTTTGTAATCCCTTAGCAATGTTGTTTTTGTAATTGTCTGAGCATTAATAAATAAATAAAAAAACAGAAGTGAGAAAATGTAATTAAGCTTAATTTAAAAGAAATAATAATGTTAGATACAATGACAGAAATCTGTATTATAAAAGATGCTTACAAATATTGTTATTAACTTCCTGACCTCATGCAAGTCAAAATCCTACACTGAGCAATGGCTAACTTTAACATTTTATTTCCATCCTGTTAATTTTCTTGCCACCATGTAAATAGGTTATAATTAATGACATTTAAGTGCCTGAGCTTGACCAGAGCATATATTTGCAAATCTAAATGCTTTCATAGTAATACTTCTATGAATTACAACCCAAGCACATTCATTAAAAAAAAAAAAGTTCAAAAGGTACTGCATAACAGGAATGACCCGCCTGCTACTTCGACTCATTCCTTCACACTTGGTTGCTTAAAAAGACCCTTGTTCACAGCAACCTATCACAGTTCACGGCTACATCTTGACCCAGCCCTACGGAGCCTGTAATTGGGAATAAGGTGACCACTGTGAGTCCTCAGGCGAAAATAAATCAGCCTATTTGTGAAAACACACACAGCCGACATCTCTGATTAAAATGTCAGTAACTTCACTCGGCGAGCCCCACAGACTTTTTAATTTCACCGTAGATGGCTTGGTGCCGTGCCACGTTATTTTCCAGACATCTTTGTGCTAATGCAGGATTTGTACAGCCTTTTTACACTCGAGTGATTCCAGCGCTCTTCTCCTTCGTGAGAGGAGTGATTTGGTGGCCCACTCAAAGACTGGAGCGGCCAGACAGAGGCTGAAGTTCCTGGGTTACAATTGAGGTCAGTTTGGGGCAGTAAGGGAGAGATGCCAAATCACACAGAGCTCTTAGCAGCTGTAAATGAGAAAGGGGATCCTCTTCTAGAGTGACCTACACAAACAAGGCGTTGTCAGATGGGCTTCTAGGGGTCCGACCTTGTGTCAGCACACTAGTGCTTTTAATATAAGCTTTAAGGTGTTGTCACATTACCGAAATTTAGCTGAAAGAGGTCTATTGTATACTGTCAATAGTGTAGTGATGTATAAAGCACAGCTCACACAGAAGTCAAACCAAGCAGTTGTCTGTTGGTCATCACACCAAAGTCGCGTGAACAAATAAACCTGTTGCAAAATCTGCATGGGGAAATATTTTGCCCTTAAGCGAAATTACCAAGCACATGGATTACTGTTGAAATTGCTGAATTTCGGCTGTGAAAATTCAGTGATCAACAGTAAATGGGACCGCACCTTTATTCTTAATATATACACCTGAAACTGATGTTATTTTTATGTAAAATTTTGGTAAATTTGGAAGCTTTGGTGAAAATATGAACTCTTTCAAACCAATCAGTTTTCTGTTGGTCAACTCAGCAAATTTACAAGACCAACTGAACCAGATGCGAACTCTGCATGGGAAAATGTTTGCCCTCAGATGAAATTTCCAATCTCAGTCCTATTGAAAAAGACTGAATTTGGCAGCAAAAATAAGTTATTATTACGGATGCACACACTTTATTTCACGTCTTCTGAACTGTTGACAACCAACACCCGCTTGCCCCCATTGAAAGGCTTAGAATAGCCAGGACAATTTTTAATATAACTCCGATGGGATTCATCTGAAAGAAGAAAGTCACATACACCTAGGATACTTTGAGGGTAAAAGTAAAGTAAAACACAGGCTAATTTTAATTTTTGGGTGAACTAACCCTTTAATATACAGACCTGAAGCTGATGTCATTTTTTCCCCCAATATTACATTTTGGTACATTTGGAAGCTTTGGTAAAATCTGAACTTTTTCAAACTAAATTTTCAAGCCATGTAGCATTCTGTTGGTCACCATTGCAAATTCACCTGACCAATTAAACCCGACGTGAAATCTGTGTGTTTGGAAGTTTGAAAACTGCCTGTTTCCAGAAAGCCTTTCAATGCAGTGGTGGCGTTTCACAAAACCATAATGTATGGCATCGCGTTCCATCGGTGTGGAGTCCCATCTGCCATACCCTGCCATACAGAAATGCTGCCCCTGTTTCAAAGTATACTCCATATGCTAAGGTCAGATGGCCGTGTTAGACAGACTTTCTCTTAAAATTTAAATCTTGGTAAATTTTAATGCTTTGTTGAAATTTTAACACGTCAGATGTATACAATCGACGAACCCTCTTTTAATGCGAAACACTCACAAAACACTCACACATCAGCAAACTGTGTTGAAGGACTGTCCGCGAACCACAGCAAAATACAGACATGGGAAGCATACTTTAGATTCAAGTATTAAACTCTGGCCAATAACTAACGGATAATAAAGCAAGAAAAAATATATATTTTATTGGCAACCGGCAACCACCCAGCAATTACCCAGAACACCCTAGAAACTGCATAGCAACACCCCAAAAAGCAAAACTCTAGCATTATAGCTGCAACAACAATATAATTGTGTCCCAAATTACATACTACACTCTCAGAACAAATGGTATATACACACACACACACACACACACTCAAATGATTAATCGCGATTAATCACATCCAAAATAAGTTTTTGTTTACATAATATATATGTGTGTACTGTGTATATTTATTATATGTATATAAATACACACGCATGTATTTATGTAAGAAAAAGTTTGTTTTTACATTAAATATATTTATTTATAATATAAATTATATGAATATAAATATATACATGTAAATATTTTTAATATATATACTGCATGTGTGTGTATTTATATATACATAATATACACAGTATACAAACATATGTAAACAACTTTTATTTTGGATGCGATTAATTGTTTGACAACACTAATATATATATATACACAGAGCTGTAAAGTTCTTATAAGGATGAAGAATAAGTTCCTTGTGCGCACTAATGACATTTGAGTGATCTCTTTATTTGTTGAACAGGAGCGTCTGCCAACAGTGCCTTTATCAGGAATGTACAACAAATCTGGCGGAAAAGTACGACTCACATTTAAACTGGAGCAGGATCAGTTGTGGATCGGAACAAAAGGTGATTTCATCATTTAATTAAACACTTATCCATAATACTTGGTTTATGTTAATTTTTTTTCTGGCCTGCAGAAAGAACAGAAAAAATCCCGATGGGTTCCATCAAAAATGTTGTGACTGAGCCAATAGAGGGTCATGAGGACTATCATATGATGGTATGTGTTTATCGCAGCATTTAACAAACTATGCATTGTATCTGGCATTCTCAAACTGGATTTTTTTAAAACTTAATATACTAATGATAACTGTAAATATTTTACTTATTGTTTGGTGCTGCTATAAGACATATATATATATATATATGCTTGTTTGTCACCCTAGGCATTTCAGCTGGGTCCGACAGAAGCCTCACAATATTGGGTCTACTGGGTGCCTGCACAGTTTGTTGATGCAATCAAAGACACAGTTCTCGGAAAATGGCAGTATTTTTAACGTGCCTCTATAGACACTGAAGAATTGGGATTCAGAGCAAAAGATTGATAACATTAACTGGAGCCAACACAATAATCTGAAGAACCGATTTTTCTGAAGTATTTCCAGAGCAAACCGAAGGATTGCTGTTGGACAAAATATTTTGGGGGTTTTAAGTGCACTAAGTGTCAGCATCCCGTTTTTCAAACTGTTTCATCACTCGTTTTTTTTTTGTTGTTTTTTTTAAAGCAATCCCAAGCATAAACAGAAAATTGTACAGAACTTGCATATACATTTCTCGTAGTTATTCTGAAAGAAATAAAAATTATTTAAGGAAAATGATTGATGCAGTAGAAAGATTTTATCTAGTATATTCCTTGGTTTACCATACAACTCAAGCAATCTTGCCAAAGTCGATATAGTTCACGCCGTTGTTAGTTTTACAGTCAGCTTTTATGATTGCACAGATTATAGTTTACATGTAAAGCAGCAGCAATGTAACACTCAAATATGGTATTAATCAAGGTTAAAAGAGCATTGTGGCATTTTACGTGGTTCAAAAAATTCAGCATTTTCTTCAAGACTTTTAATAGCACATGGAGAGCTCATCTCATTTTGCCTTGACAGCAGGAGCCTTGATGCAGAATTACAACCCAAAAGCCAAGAGTACAGTTGCTCAGCCTCTGTACTTTCAACCACATGATACTTTGACAAAGGCAATATCTTCTTTATATTTCATGGTTAAACGCAGCAACATCTCTAGGGCCAAGTCCCTCTCAAATCAGATGCTATATTAGGGAAAACAGTGTTGATGTGCCCTTAATACTCAGTCGTTTAACTAAGTTGCTGATGATTGACTATTCTGATCATGCATGTTGTTTTTTCAAACATGGTGCTAACCAATGATAAGCATTTTTAATTCAATAAAGCCCGAAGGAAGGAAGAGTTTCAGTGACCTTTCTGTAATAAATTTGCCTGTATACTTACGTTTTTTAAATTTTCAAACTCTATGTAGCAGCTCACAATTGAAATTCCTCCTAAATCATATATTTCAGTATATATGTATCTAATTCAATAGTAAGAGGAATAGCTCACCCTAAAACAAAAATGTTATCACCTCGAGGCCAAGATGTTGATTTACCATTGCATTAGCATTATCATTTGTTCACCAGTGGATCCTCAGCAGTGAATGGGTGCCGTCAGAATGAGAGTCCAAACAGCTGATAAAAACATCACAATAATCCACAAGTAATGACATGAATTTAGTCCAGTCAACATCATGTGAAGCGAAAAGTTGAATGTTTGTAAGAAACAAATCCATCATTATGATATTTTTTAACTTTAAACCTTTGTTTCCGGCTAAAATATGAGTCCTCTATCCATGATATTGATTTCTCCAGTAAAAAGGTCACTTCCTCTGAATCAGGAGAGAAATATGCACGTTTACAAGTGAAAACGGTCCAAAACACTTCTAATCAAATATGTCGGTGGATTTTGATGCGAGAGGACGACAGGGGATGGACTCGTATATTTTGGACAGAATAGATGGTTTAAAATTAAAATGCTTTATTACAAATGATGGATTTGTTTAATACTAATATTATTTATTAATGTATTTATTTAATTAAATATGCAGCTTTTCGCTTCACAAAGTACTTGTTGATGGAGACGTGTGGATTATTGTGATGTCTTAATCAGCTGTTTGGACTCTCATTCTGACGGCACCCATTCACTGCAGAGGATCCACTGGTGAACAAGTGATGTAATGCTGAATTTCTCCAAATCTGTTTTGAAGAAACAGACTTATCAACATCTTGGATGGCCTGAGGGTGAGTAAATTGTCAGCAAAGTTTCATTTTTGAGTGAACTAGTCCTTATATGAGAAAGTTGTGTAGATCCATCACCCCCTTAATGTAGTAAGCTACATAACTATTATTTAGAGTTATATTTCATGATTAGAAAGATTATACAGCTGTCTGTGGTTGAGCATTAGCATTTTTCTTTTTCAAAATACTCTCTGATGTGTAAAGTGTTTCCTTATCAACTAGTAATAGTGCCTCTGAATGGAAATATGAGTATATTACATAATGTGAAAAAACTACATTCAAAGATTTTGAATATTAAACCATTACACAGCTGGTTCATGAATATATGCAGCAAAATAAGACTTGAGTACTTTTTTCTATTTTGTGTCCATATTTTAATTTACATGCAAATCAGTCACGTTCTCCTTTTGTTTAACCTCAAATATCTTAAAAGCTTCCATTGAACTAATTTATTGAGCGGTCCCAAATAAACCGATACATCTCGGATGTATTATTTCAATTGCAATTAAACAGTATATTCAGTATGCTTTTTGCTACTTGAGTAGTTGTTTTCCAAAAATCTTCTGTTGTCATGCATGGATCACAGGTGTACAGCTCAGGTTAAGAAGAAAAAAGAAACCGGTTTTGATCACTATCACTGACATGAGGAATGGAAAATATGCCTTCAGATATGTAGCAGCGCTACAACACAACTGGAATATTTTTTTAACCTCGTTAACCTATGAGCTCATCTTCAAACAAGTAACTTTATATAACTGACTGTATAAAAACTGAGGTTTGTGACATACATATTTAGTTAACAGACTCTTTGTCCAAAGTGATTTGCAAATGAGGACTACAACAGCAATAATGAAAATTGAGAAAACTAAACCAAATCATACCATTTTTTCAAAAGGCGCACACTTTTTCGTCAAGGTATACACACTATTTTTGTTTCACACAGGTTGCCAAATAAATCATTGTTCAAAATTCAAAAGCAACTCTTTTTTTTTTTGCAAACGGGAGTTTTGCACCAGCTGTTACTATGGCAGTGTCTTATCTGAAACACTGCATTTACCAATCTTTTTCGTCAAGGTATACACACTATTTTTGTTTCACACAGGTTGCCAAATAAATCATTGTTCAAAATTCAAAAGCAACTCTTTTTTTTTTTTTTGCAAACGGGAGTTTTGCACCAGCTGTTACTATGGCAGTGTCTTATCTGAAACACTGCATTTACCAATCAGAGCATCAGAGCTATCTATTTCATAAAGTAAGCAGAATTAACTGTTTTATGTTTTAATTATGTTTACATTACATTTACATTTATTCATTTAGCAGCCACATTTATCCAAAATGACTTACAAAGGAGGAACATTGCAAGCAATTTATCTTTTTTTTTTTTGTAATTGTCAGATGCAAATTCATCACTGTCATCTGCAAATACTCAGCTTGAGTTGTCATCCTACAAACCTTTATTATTATTATTACAGTTTCTATTTGTAAGCAGAGCAGTTTGGTTAAAATACTGTTGCTGTGTGATGGTGAGAAATGTTTGATCTGTGTGTGCTGGTACAAATGTATCTCTATTGAATGATCCAAATGATCTGTGACCATGTGTCACCCCCAGTCTTGAAATATATGAGACATGCATAACAAGATACACCTGTTTCTTATACTGCAGGACAGCTGACTGTAGAAAAAGCGGATAGCCTGGGTTTTTAATGCTCTGAAGAATACATTGTTGGTGTACTTCCTGAAAACATCTTGTGACAGTTGGGTGCAGCCATGATTATAGAGATGTTTTTGTCATGTCATTTAATAGACATGCCAGCAATTTACATCAAGCATATAAGGTGCGCATTTGTTCCTCCATAAAACCCAAACTTAACTTCAGAATCAGCACAATCGGTGATTGTTGTAAAATGCTGTCTTTACTGTTGCTAAATTGCGGGACATGTTTGGTAATAAAGCACAATAATCCTCGCAAGAGATGCTGATCCCAAGGCTGAAATGTGGCGTGCGCTCCAATACAACTAGACGAGCAAATTAAACTTTGGGCTTCGGGTGCACATCCAAGCGATCAAACACACAGAAAATGTGTCAAAATGGCCGGCTTGGAGAGTGTTCACTTAAACACAGTTTATGTCTTAAGTGGACGGGAACAGTTGAAAGAAAATCCGATGTGTGACAATATTCTCTTGTTAATGTTAATTAATGTTAATCAAACAATAAAATGCAAAGAGAAAATCACTCACAGCTCTCAATCTCAATGACGTTAGCTTTAATAAGCATTAATCTATCAATTCATAAAGTGAAAATTCAAGTTTATTATTTGTATAGCGCTTTTACGCAGTCAAAACTATGCAGTGTTCATTTACATTTGATTACTTTATTCGATTTCTTTTGTAGGCTATATTAGACTTACCTGAACAGTAAAACAATAAAAAATGCCTGCACACTGGTGCATTTACAAATTTATGTTTTATATTAATTTCATTAAATGTTTATTTTACATTTCAGAATATAAAGCCATTTTAATTCAGCTCAATCCTATATATATATATATAGTCAACATTTGAAGTGGATCAAAAAAAGTTGATCAAAGTTGTCCAAAGACAAGAACGCATTTTAGTTTAAGGTTTTAGGATAAATTTGATGAAAGGTTTTGATCCACTGTAAATGTTGACTACTGTATATATATATATATATATATATATATATATATATACAATATATACACACATGAGAG